AGAGTCTCGCCAGCCGGTGCTTACTCCTCTCCGAGTGCCTCCGCCTCTCACTAGCAGCGAAATACGGCTTTGTTTTTTTGAAATATGCTGAAACGGAACTGTAATGCGAAGTAGAGCAAGCGGAGGGGTACCCGCTGCTTGGTGCTAGCAATTGTCCACGTCAGCAGTGCTAGCTCTTCTTCGCCACATCACATATCGAGCCCGCCGTCCCAAAAAACCGGCCAGCTGCATGTAAAGGGCAGCCGCAACAGCCAACGACTCTCGCTCCGATGTTGGGGAGATCCGGAAGAAGGCGCTGCACCGCATTTTACCGAAATACACTCGAGCTCCGCGAGATGCTTCTCTTGGGGACGCGAAGGGGGAAGGGGTTCAGCAGCGTTTCGGCGCGGTACGCCAGGTGTGCTACATGCTGGGGACGGGGCCTGACCACAGGTGCAGAAGGAGGCCGGTGTGAGTGAGCTGCAAAAGGCTGCAGCCGTGAAATGTGCAATAAGACCACGTCAGCAAATCTGCACAATAACACGGTCCGTTGATCGTCATGAGTTTGGGCGTTTTTTGATCGGTGCCGAGCGAAAGCATCGCCCTGGAACAACGCGTTTTTGGTGCATGTGAGAGGGGCTGAGCGCGTCGCGTCCTCTTTTCCATCGTTGGTTTTTGCGCTGGTTTTTCGTACGGCTCTCGCTTGCAGCTCTCTCTCTCTCTTTGCATTTCTGTCTTTTTGTAGTCCGTCCGGAATCCGCCGTGCTGCCCAATTCGTTCCATTTTTACGGATTTCGATGTGCTATTTCTAAAATATTCACAGAAATTTGAAATGTTTTATGTGTGGAAAATTTACAGGATCCTTTCAACGCGCGTCATTTGCCTAAACGATGAATTTTTGCGGGATTTTTCAGTGATGAGCTTGAATTTTAGACACAATCAAAGCTGTTCGTTGATGTACGTGAATGACGGAATTGCCGCTACGAACAGTGACACGACGACGTGTTGCGCTGAATAACGTGAATCCGGAAGGCGGAAGTCACGGGCCAGAAGAGGACGAGAGTAAGTCGAGGCTTCCAAAGGCTAGCCCGTTCTCGCCCTTCTCCACTCTCTCGGCATCGTTGTGGAGCTCCGCACAGGTTCGCATTTCTCTTACGGACGCAGGACTTGTGTGCAGAAGAGGAGGGCTCTGAGTTGGCGCAGCACAAAAAAGGAGTGGAGCGAGGCGCCAGACTGAAACACATGCAAAATTATTGCAGTCACAACTCTCGCGTGCTACTGCATCAGTAAATCGGGCTTCCACTTGCCTGTCACTTCAGCAGAAGATCCACTCGGGGGCAGGGGGAATTTCCGAGATAAGCATGTGAATGCGCTTCTCCCAGTCAGTTTTTATGCGTTTTGTGCTGTGTAACAGCAGTACAAAACGCATATTACTACGGGGTTTTCTGTGTGTGTGTGTTTGTGTGTGTGTGTCCGCAGTAACTTGTCCGCAACTTTCAACTCGGGAACTACAAAAGCTAGGAAGCTGAAAATTTAAGGGAACGTTCCCCACCCACGTGCGACCCCGCTAATTTAAATTCAGCTTCCCCGTACCCGCGGGTAACGCGTACGGCCCTGTGAAAGTTTTTTACGGGTAAGTAAAGTATCTCGGGAACCACGGAGTCTAGGAGGCTGAAATTTTAGGGTAATGACCCACTGCCCATGCTCTATGGAACTAGGAGGCTGAGAAATTCAGGGTAATGACTCACTGCCCATGCTCAACCTCGCCCATTCAAATTCAGCCTTTCCTTACCCGCAGGTAACACGTACAGCCCTGTGAAAGTTTTTCACGGGTAAATTATTATCTCGGGAATCACGAGGTCTAGGAAGCTGAAATTTTAAGGTAATGACCCACTGCTCCCGCTCAACCTTGCCCATTCAAATTCAGCGTTCTCGCGCTCTCAGGTACCACCTACGGCCTCGTGAAA